GAAGCCTGTATTGTCTTAGAAGAAGTGCGGTCTTATTCAAAAGTAATGGAGCAAATGAAGATTAATCTTCATCCAAGGCAGATTTGTATCATTGCATCAACCAGGAAACAGGTACAGTTTTATAATGATAGCTATAGTCTATTGTTATAAATTTTACAGTTGAATCATATCAGAGACATGGCAAATAAGTATAAAGAGTATGAGGCTGTAAGAAAAGTTAGTTTCAAACCTTCCTTCATGATACAAGGTGTAAAGATAAGCATATTAGTGTTTTTATGCTGCATGCATTATATACTTGTAGGTCATGAGTTTCAGGCTATTTTCTTAAGCCTGTTTGAGCCAATAGAAAATGATGAATTGAATGCCTTTTATGTCAAGAGTTTATTCAATCCTTTTGTCTTTAATACTGTAATCACGAGGGCCAAATTTCGAGTAGTTGCGGTTGGAAGACTAAATGAGGTTCAACAATTTGAAAATGACACACTTTCTCATCCTTGTCGAAGTGATAACACAGTAAAATGCTGGCATGAATACCTATCCTTGTGTAGAAGACAAGGAACTCTGCACAATGAAAAGTAATGGCTTATTTTTATGTAATATACATTGACTGATAGGAAAAGTATTGGCGACAGAGCAGAAGCTTCTATACCTAATTTGGAACCAAATGTATTGCCACAGATTGATACTAGAGGAGGTGGAGGTATGTGTATGTGCATGCACATGACTATTGTCCAAAAAGAAGAAATGTATTCAGAAAATTAAATTGGTATTACTGAAATTGCAATGTACAATGTGCATGTAGAATTGTAGATGATTTCATATTTTGTTTGATACATAAGTGATTCTGCTGAAAAAGGATATATATTAACTACAGTACATGTACAGTACATAAAACCTTGTACTGTATGTATTATTGAACTTGCCATGCAATTATTTTTTGCTTGTTACCCAGTTTTTGTTTTGAAATATTTTATCATCACATTATAGAGATAACTCTACTAAAGAAAAAATTAAAGTGCGAAGTTCAAGGTTTGACATCAATAACGAAAAATAATAATAGAATTTTCTATAGAGGTAGAACAAGCCTCAGTAAAATTTCAAGGTAGTTTTTCTGAGTTTGTGTCAGGTAAAAGACGAGGAATTAAAAAGAACAATACTAGATCAAGTAACTCATACATGTATAAGACTAGCATTCATTAAAGTATTTTATGTAGCACAAACAGAAATTTTAGAAGAGAAATTTGCTTTGATTGAGTTCAATCTAGAAGAATTGGAAAAAGAAAAATTAGATGTGCTAGAAGAACTGAAGGGAGTTAAATTAATATCAGCAAAAAAAGATATGCAGATAGAAGATTTGAAAAATGGTAAGTACAAACTTATGTATATGTGATCATACTGTAGCATTATGTAGAAAATTCAAAAGTATTGAAAGAATTAATGTCAAAGAAAGATGAAGTTGCTGCATTGGAAACTAAATTGTCAATGAGGCAATACCAAAAAATAAAGTGTAAGCTTTAATAATAATTTTTGTGCATAAATTTGTGGCATCACTTAAATCATTATAGTGAGTGACAAAAAGTTAAAAATTGACAGTGGACTTGTAAAAAATCCATCAAAAGTGAAGGTGTTGAGGAAATTTTCAATGGGTCTTACATGTATGTATACTATATTTTTATTGTTTCTTGTGGCTACTTGCTGGAAGCCAGATTCCAAGATATTTATTAGTAAGAACATGAGACTTCAAAATCATTATCATAATGCTTCTATAGGCCCTTTACCAGGTGTCAAAGTTATG